AAAAAAAAAAAAAAAGGATCAAAGATCTAAACCTAAGACCGCAAACTATAAAACTACCCATGGAAAACACTGGGGAAACTCCGGGAGACACTGAGATAAGCAGAATTCTTAAGCAAGACCCCCAAAGCACAGGCAATAATCCCCAAAATAGACAGGAGAGATTAAGAAGTTTCTGCACAGCAAAGGACACAGTAATTAGTTTGAATCAACAACTCTTGGAATGGGAGAAAATTTTTGTTAACTATGCCTCAGATAAGGGACTGATAACCAGAATACACAGGGAACTCAAGTAGCTTACCCAGAAGAAAATGATTAACCCAATTAAAAGATGGGAAAATGAGCTGAATAAATAACACCCTAAGAAAGATATATGAAGAGCCAAAAAGCATATGAAAAAATGTTCAACATCCCTCATCATAAGGGAGATGCAGATCAAAACCACAAGGAGATACCAACTAACCCTAACCCCAGTCAGAATGGCGAAGATTAAGAAAACAAAAAAATGATAAGTGCTTGTAGGGATGTGGTGAAAGGGGAACTCACTTTCATTGTTGGTGGGAATGTAAATTGGTCCAGCCACTGTGGAAAACAATATGGAGGTTCCTCAAAGACCTTCAAATAGCGCTACCATATGATCCAGCAATTTTGTTGCTGGGTATCTACCCAAAGGACAGGAGAACTCTCAGTCAGAAAAGCACTTGCACAACTATATTTATTGCGGCATTATTCACAATTGCTATGACATGAAACCAACCTAACTGTCCACAAACAGATGAATAGACTGAAAAAATGTGGCACATATACTCCATGGAATACTATTCAGTCATAAAAAAACAAGGCTCTGGCATTTGATAGAAAGTGGACAAACATGAAAGGTTTATTGGAGTGAAGCAAGTCAGGCTATGAAACAGACATTGTATGTCTCCACTTAACATATACTGACTGTCTATACTCTATGATAGAGACTGAAAGACTGGAGAACATGAACGCATTGAAAATTGTTATGGACACTGGGGACTAAGTGGAAGGAAAGTGGGAGAGGGGAAGAGTGCAGGAAAGGAATGGAAAAGTAAGACATCTGTGGGACACAGATATAGTTTGTTGCCTGTTGATGATGTTGTGTATAGTATTCTCAACTTGCCTGGTGTGTGGCATAGATAACATTGGGTAAAATCTCTTCACAATATAAATGATGTCTAGTGATTGAATGTATAAATAATAATAAATAATAAAAAAGTAAAAAGAAAAGGGAGGGAGTGGGGACAGATTATGACTAGTTTTTTTTCTGTGATAATTTTCTAATGCTCTCTGATAATTGGCATAGTGCAGATGCTTATGGGTAAGGCTGAAGAGAAAAGAGGTTGAACAAATCACATGCATTTGAAGACATGTGTACCTAAGAGGAACAGAAAGGAAGCCTTCAAAGAAGCATTAACTCCCTCCTTTGGCTTAAGCTTCCTATTAAGCTGCAGATCCATGGCAGGTACAATCTACCAGTACACCCTGATACACTGGCAGGAGGCCTGAATAAAGGGGAATGGGTTCATAATATGGCAAGAGCACTAAAGAGCAGGCATCAAGAAGATGGTGTCACATTTGTTAGTGACTGTCTACTCAAGTGAAGCTGTTGTGGACAGTTATAAGTACCTTCTGGGGTTACTACCTAAGTCACTTGACTCACAGTCCACAGTCATTTGACTATTTTGCCATGGTGACTGAACAAACAAAAAAAGGAACACACCTTGAAATTGTAGAAATTGAGAAAAGTAACTATTTGTGCTTCCAAGTCTATCATTCTAGAAATTTTACTTCTATGATAAGCAAGATTCTGGCTTGTATTATATCATGTCAAAAGATTAAGATTTTTACTATATAAATGTTTTTTCAAGAGTGAGGATGTATTATTGAGTGCAGGGAGACACACCTTGATCGGGGAGTACCACTTCCGGGGAGAAGAGGGCCGACGCATGTTGTTGTTGAGGTTTCGAGGCTCAGGGAATTCATACTCCTGCTCTGGCATCTTGACTCTTGCATTCTTTGCCTTTTCCAACTTAGCACCTTCTTCTGTGGAGCCCTTTTCTCCCCAGCGAACCTAAAATAAATAAAATACAATAAAACAAAATGACCAAATAAGATATGTTGCCCCTTGGGAATGAGAATCCCAAATACATGTGTGACATGCAAGACAAACGCTACCTAATCCTCAGTTTCTTTTGGGTTTTGAGGGCAGGGAGGAGGGGAGATGTGGAGAAGGGAAAGCGGGAAAGCTGAAGGAGCAGAGGGTGAGTGATGCGATTGGATATTTAGGGGAGAAATCGTCCAGGCAATGTGGGCAGCATGTGCAAAGCCCTCACAGGCCCAGGTAAGAACTTTGGATGTTTCTTTTTCTTTCTTTTAATTATCAGAGGGCATGTGTGCTTGCCAGAGAAAGAGAGAGAGAGAGACAGACAGACAGAGAGATGGGAGTGGAGAGTGGGCAGGCCTCCCTGCCCCCTCACATCACAGTCCCATCTTCTACATTTCTTTATCTTGTTAGGACTTAGGGGATACATGCACATGTGCCCAATGCATTTTCAAGACACCGGGGCCGAGATTTGAAACATGATTAGCCATGTGGGATCTGGCTCTCTTAATCACTAGGCAATGGGACTGGCCCAGGAACTTCGGCTTTTATTCCAGTGTGAAAAGAAAACTTTGGGACAGGGGATATGAGCAGATGAGCGAGCTGCTCTGATTCAAGATGGGGTGTGCAGTTAAAAGGATGTCCACCCATCTTTCCATCTTTCCACCCCATAATCCACATCTCCACCAGACCTCACATGAGTTTTGAACAGTTTGCTTTGGTTTTCCATTCCTGAGTAGTCAGCACACAAGTAAGTGTACATTAAGCTGTCCTCTTACCTCCATCCTTTTAATACCTCCAACGCCTCGCCCACCATAATATGAGGCATCTACCGTAGGCCACTTTTTCTTAGGCAAACCATCATCATCTTCTTCCTGTAGAGAAATTGTGACATATGAAGGATGCAAAGCACCATTTCTCTCCCTCCCTCTCTCCCTCTCCCTCTCTCTCTCTCTCTCTCTGTGTGTGTGTGTGTCTGCTCCAGCAAAGTGGTAGGGATAGTGCTTGTAGGTCAGACTGCCTGTATTCAATCCCGATGCTACTGTTTGCTGGGACCTTGGGCAAGTCACTGGAACTATCAAAATTTCTTCTCCTTTTCTGTAAAGTGGGAGTGAAAGCTGTACTCTCTGGTAAATTTGTGACAGAATCCTGGGACTCATCATCTTCTACATCTCTGCTTCTTTATAGAGGATCTCATCTAGTCCCATGTACAATCTGCTGACTTATTAATTTATATCTACAGTTTTGACTCTTATGAACTCCAAATGTTCACTTGACATTTACATCTTTTTGGGAGGGTGATGGGGGCAGGGCTAATAATCATTTCAAAACCATGGCAAAGAGAAGTCCTGGTATCCCCACTCCACACTTGTTCCTTTAGTCCTTCCTCATTTGCCTGCAAATCATTCTGGAATTCTCCTGCTTCTCCACTCCTTTTCTACCCTGTCCCAGTTTGCTGGCAAGTTATGTTGCCTCTATTTTCTTTTTCTTCTTCGTATTTTTTTTTTAAGAATTATTTAATTCCATTTGTTATTATTTTTAAAAATTTGACCAGAGAGAGAAAGGGAAAGTGAGAAAGCAAGCTGCCAGGTCCAGGACTCAAACTGCAGTCAGCCATGTGGGAATCCAGTGCCTTTAACCACCACGCCATCTGCTGGCCCCCTGTTGCTTCTATTTCTAAAAGAGCCCAAATCTGCTGACTCTTCACTTCCATCGCCACCTCCTCTTCTACTTCCACTAACGCCACCAGTATCTCCACCTCTACCAGCACCTCCACCACCAACTCCACTTCCATCTCCACCAGCATTACCAGCACCAGTAGCCCTCCACTTTTTATTTATTTATTTATTTATTTATTTATTTTCTGGAGAGATTTTTGCTATAGGGCGCGTGCGCTCGCCAGACAGAGAGAGACATAGAGACAGAAAGCGAGAAATCACCCCCCAGGGGGGATGGTCACGCCGCAATCCCTTCTCCTCCATTCTCCTCTCGGGATCTTGGGCACGCACGCACACGCGCCCGGCGTGAGTTTTAAGCCACCGGGTCCGGGATGTGAACCGCGGTCGACTATGTGGGAGTCCAGCGACATAGCCATTACGCTAACTGCTGGTTCCCTAGCCCTCCACTTTCATCATCTCATTCACCGTTTCCATCTCTGTCTCCACTGCACCATCAGTACCTCATCACCATGAGTATCACCAGTGCCAGTGGAATCTCATCTCCACCTCCACTGCCACTGTGCTGGACCTAAGTACTCACAAATTCTTTCCTGGATACCTTAACTTCCTAACTAGCCTTCTTGCCCTGTCTTAGCACTTACAATCTGCACTTCACAAAGTTGTAGCATAAATCCAAATTGTCTCTGTCCTGTATGCTCTAGCTTTTGTTTATCTCTTTGGCCTTCATCCTTACCATGCACCCCTGACCGGACTCCAGCCCAATTGCTCTCTGTTCCTCAAATACTCTGAATACCTTCCCATCTCAGGGCCTATTCATAAGCTGTCCCCTTATGTAAGAATGTTTCTTCTCATGGCTAGATCTTTCTTATCACTCATAGGAGAAAACTTCTCTGGGTATTCTTCTAAGATAGCCCCAGAGTCCTTATCCCATCAATCAACTTCATTTTAAGTTATTACCTTATTGGGACCAGCAGTTAGCGTAATGGCTATGTCACTGGACTCCCACATAGTTGACAGCGGTTTGAGTCCTGGACCCGGTGGCTTAAACTCACACCAGGCACATGTGCGTGCGTGCCCAAGATCCCAAGAGGAGAATGGAGGAGAAAGGATTGTGGTGTGGCCATCCCCCTGGGGGGGTAATTTCTCGCCTCTGTCTTTCTGTCTCTCTCTGTCTGTCTGGTGAGTGCACGTGCCCTATAGCAAAAACCTCTCCAAAAAAAGAAAAAAAAAAGTTATGACCTTATCATAGTTTGATAGTTACTCTGTCTCTCCACATTAGAATGTAAGTTGCATGGATGCTTTGGTTCATGTGTCATGTTCACCACTGTATTCTCAGTTGTTAGAACAGTACTACTTAGTATATGGTAGGTGCCCAGGAATTATCTATTGAATTTACAAGTAAATAAAGCAGTTAACTCAGTGACAGGAAGGTAGCACTTAAACTATTTTTTTGAGGTGAAGAGAGAAAACGAGAGAAATTTCTAACTTTATGGATGGAAAAGACAAGGCTAACTAGCAAAACTGCTCTTAATCTTGGCAATCTAATTATTTAGATTGCTGTGGGGAGAAAAATATCACTGTTTATAGTAGTCGATTATAGGGACATGGCATGATTTATTCCTGAGTGGAGAAACAAAGCTGAAAAAGGAGTCTGTAAAGCCAAGAAATGAAATAAAGAAAATGAACTTTCTTAGAATAGATAAGCCTACTTTTCAGTCAAGGATTCAGGGTAGAGTCGTTTGTAGGGCCACTGTGAGGACTGGGGTATCTCCTGTAGAACACAAGTGCAAAACAAGGGTAAGAGGTCAGCAGAAGAGAGATCAGGGCCAGTGGTGACAAAGTAAAATAGTTCATATCAGCACACAAAAACTCCTGCGGTAATGTGCTGTGCTTGGGAAAAATAAAAAAATTAAAGGTAAATATATCTTAGAAGATAGAGTGCTCATAGCAGACTAGAGGACTTGAATCATTTTGGCAGCTGATAATTGGGTCACTATTTTAAAAACAGAACTGTCTTTCTTCACCATGAAGCTGTGAAGGCAGAGTGGATCCTGTTGACCCTTGTAAATTGAAGTGCACAGCAGGAGCTCAATAAACACATATTGAATTTATTGATGACCACACTATTGGATTATGTAGCCTTTAGGCTATGTGGTTTACATGTATTGACTCTTTTTTAAAAAGGGCTATTTAATTTTTAAATTATCATTATTATTTTAAATTTGCTATAGGGCATGTGTGCTCACCAGAGACAGAGACAGAGAGAGAGAGAGAAAGAGAGAGAGAGAGAGAGAGAGAGAGAGAGAGAAAGCTGCTAGGTCCAGGACTTGAAATTCTGTCTACCATGTGGGAGTCCAGTGCCTTTACCACCATACCATCTGCTGGCCTGTATTGACTCTTTAATATGACAACCAGCCAGCGAGGGGGGTGTTATTATCCCTACTGTAGAGACCAGGAATAGGACGTTATGCGACTTATATACTATGCCAGTGTGTACATGGCAGAACTGGATTTGAACTCAGGCAGCCTCACTCTATTCTGATTATTTTTTAATATTGGCAGGTTCTAGGTTTTGACTCTGTGCATTTTGGTTTCCCAGTAATTTGTTGGTATCAAATAAATGCTTATTTTCTACTTCTCATACCTTGTACTTGCTAATTTGGATGAATTTATAACTGTAAACCAAAAGAAAGGCTCCAAAACAAGAAAATACTACAGTTGATAGTATTTTGCCATATGATAAAATCTCCGAAGACTTCTTTTTTTTTTTTTTTTTGGGGAGATTTTTCCTGTAGGGCGCGGGGCCGCCCC